CGAAAAATCCGTGAAAATCCACACTCCAGACACCACCACCAAAAATCTATTCCATATATAAAAAATTCAACAGAAAATAATTTTTAGTACTACCTCTTTTCTTCATTCTGTGAAAATTTCATGAAGATTGGATGAAAAATGGTTGAGTTATTCAAAAAAGTATAGAGAAAAGTCGCATTTTGAGAAAACGGCCGATAAAGAAAAATAAAATACTGACTTTATGAGGAAATGGCGGTTACAAACATGTCCGGTATGGGAAAAAATACAGTTTTTGGGGGTTCTTATGCCATGAAATAGTTGTACGAGAGGCTAAGGAAGCTGAAAAATGCCTACAACTCAAATTCCATGATTTTTAGCCGAATTTTGATTTTGGGGGTGTAGCCCCCCCCCCTTAACAATACATGCAATTGAATGTGTGGGATAATATATACAGCATTATGTGGTGATAAAATCACGTTTTGGTATTTGTGGTCTTTATTATTTTTTGTGTATATACTTTAACGATTCTTACAAAGGTTGGAAAGAGCAAACAACAATAACAATAACAACATGGTAAACAAATAGAGTCTAAGTTTTTAAAGAACAACAACAGCAAACACGTGAAACAGATACGTTATAAAATGCAACAGCAACAACAACAATAGCTACAACAACCACAACATCAACAACATTAATATCAACAACAACTACAACATTAGCATCTTCAACACAACAACAACAACAACAACAACAACAACAACACTAACAGCAATATAGGAAATAAATAGTTTTAAAGTACAATAACAACAACAACAACCGTAACATTAACAAGTACAACAACAACAACAAACATAAGAAACAGATAAGTTTAAAACTTCAACAGCAACAACAATAACAGCAACACCATCACCACCACCACCACCAACAACAACAACCGAAACATCAACAGAAACAACAACAACAACAAAAACAACTGCTACACTTTGAGACCGCACTCACCCTTTGGAGTTGGAATGTGAGGCCAACAAGTGTCCTAGAGACACTAACACATCGGCCACAAGGGGATGCGAACGCCCAAACCACTGGCTCCGTAGGCGAGCTGCCTCTCTGAGACAGGACTCGGCGCGCAGAAAGTCTTCTTGTGACGCTCTGTAAAGAGAGAACCGCATATCACCGTGCACGTTAGAGTTATGCAGCGAAAAAAACAAAACAACAAACAAACAAACAAATAAACTAAACCCTGCAAAAACACAGTACGCTAACTGCTGCCTTGTGGTTGATGGTGTAGCTTTAGTTGAGCTACTGTTGCTGCTGTTAGTATTGTTGCTGTTGTTGTGATTGTTGCTATTGTTATTACTGCTGCTGCTGCTGCTGCTGTTATTATTGCAGCTGTTCTTGTTATAGTAGTTTTTCTTGTTACTGTTGCTGTTGCAGTTGTCATGGTTGATGATTTTGGTTTACAATTTTGTCGTTGCGTTTGGGTTGTTTTTTTCCTTGCTGTTCTTGTAGCTGCAGTTAGGGGCTGGAGATATAACACGCATTTGACTATTAAAAGCAAGACTGATATTATGTTGTTCTTCATTTGGGCGTAACTGTCGAGGCCCACACTGCGCTCGCTTCACAGCCAAGCTTTTATACTGCCCTCATTTTAAAAAAATACAGTTAAAAATAATATGCAGTTTTAAAATTTGACAGGAGAGCCAAAAATCGGAATGTTGTACCCAAGAAAACAACATTTGTAAAAGAAAACAAGGTAGTTATTATCGAAATTGTATTCTTAAAAATATTGACTTGGAATGTTGGCAAAGAGTTTTCTAGGTAAATAGAAAAACGTGTATTTGGCTCTCCTGTAAAATTGTAAAAACTGCATATACTCTACTTTGTATGTATACACATGACGGAAGTATAGAGATCATCAAAGAGTGGCAGCCATGACAGACAGTGCACGAATCTAAAAGTACAATTCTATGATTACAAGCCATGAGAAGGAATCCAATGATGATAAACCAAACCCTACAAAAACACAGTTCGCTAACTGCTGCCTTGAGGTTGATGGTGTAGCTTTAATTTGTTGGGCTACTGTTGCTGCTGTTAGTATTGTTGCCAACTGTTTCAAAACTCAATCAGGGACACCCAACGATTTAACACTAGATTGCGCAACAAAGAATAACATTACCTCAAACGGGACTAGTTTTGATACTTATATAATAATATATAACATTTATATAGATCTAGCGCATTTCCAAAAAAAGTAGCTCAATGCGCTTTACATTGAAATACCCATTTTGAAAACCTTTTTTACTACTTCTTTTCTTCTCAAATATATATATATACACGCACACACACACACACACACACACACACACACACACACACACACACACACACATCAAATGGGACTGGTTTTGATATAGCATTCAAATTCCCAGTTGCCGAATCCGGGACACTCTCGGCAAATTCGGGATAGTTTGCAGACTTGCTACTGTGACACGTTCCTCACCTAAGCTGTCCCAGGTTGTAGTGTACACAGGACTTGAGCACAAAGCAGTCCGGGTTGTCGGCCAGGCCCTCTAACGCCTCCTTCAGCAGTTCCTCCGCGTCAAATAGTTCCTCCTGGCCCACCTTCAGCCGCCCATGGCAACACAGGAGCAGCGCTGTGGGAGGAGGTGAAAATAGAAATTATAGGTTAAACGCCCCTACAACACTATTAGGTTATTTAAGAGGCGGGACCTCCGAGTTTAACGTACATCTCCGAAAGGACCCAGCCAAAACGGACATTCATGTAAAGTCGAGATCTCAAAGTCGCGACCCGCGGGCCAACCGTTGTGTTTGTCCGGCTCAAATGTAAATGAGCTATTCGAATACGAATAAGCGCTGCAATGTCTTTGGCAGCAGCAAGGAGTAGGTTAAAAGTTAATTAAGAAGATATGCTCTAAATAAAAAAATCAATTGTACTTTTAAATAATTACTTGAAACCTTTTTTCTTCATGTTTTATTTTTTACTGGGTTCTTTTGTGGAATACATGATGCGGCCCAGGCTCACCCGGTCCCCACCCCTAGTCGCCTCCGATAATTTGAGTTTGAAATCCCTGTTTAGGCCATTTAGAAAGTGAGTGAGAAAAGTGGAAAATGATTGGGAGAGGGGGTAGAGGGGCAAAAAGTTAGCACAATAGGCCCCTTGCAACATGTTAAAAGAATCTTTTATTTTTCGTTTGCATGTAGTCATCATCATCATCACCATCATCATCATCATCATCATCATCATCATCATCATCATCATCATCATCATCATCATCATCATCATCATCATTTTAGATAGCAGGGAATAAAAAAAAGGGTTTGAGACTTAGTAGGCTTTTCAAATTTAATATTTAATCATCATCATCATCATTATCATCCTCATCCTCATCATTCAAATTTAATATTTAATCATCATCATCATCATTATCATCATCATCATCATCATCATCATCATCATCATCATCATCATCATCATCATCATCATCATCATTCTGACCATGATGTTTTCAGCACTTGCGTTGTTAAACACATACAACAGTACAATAGCCAAACACTCGACCCTCATTTTTTCACTTCAATATTAACCATACATCTCTGTCGCAATCAGAATCATTGTATTTCAGAACATTGCACGGAAATGAATATAGGCCCAAAGGCAGTATTTTTCGAGACCCCATTGGATGTTTTCAGGCTGCTGAATACACTTCCTACTTCCCATTTCATGGTGAGTTTTGTGTGTGTGTGTGTTTGTTCTTTTTGTTTTTTGTTTTAAGTTTTGGTGGGGGGTTTTTTTGTGTGTTTTTTTTTTGGGGGGGGGTTGGGTTTTTTGTTGTTGCTTTTTAAAAAAATTGGTCTTTACATCATCATTTCTCTCAGTCAATGTCTTTTCATTGATAACCTGTCTGTGATAGAAATCAATATTGATGCCTATCCCCTTTCCAACCCCAGCCCCCTTACTCCGAATAAAAAGAGTAACGGTGGGTGCAAAAAAAAAGGGAGGGGGGAGAAGAAATATATCTGACTAGAATCTATATTCAAGGCTCTATAAAGCAGATATGTCGCATGACACTTTCCTTAAGTGGACAAATTTATTTCAATACCTTTACAAAAATGTTACAAGCCACACTAGTTGTCACACACGGAGACGGCAAATAGCATGACAAAGATTACATCATATTTCAAAATTGTTGAAAGTATGACGTTCTATATTGTACCACTCTTGTACAATGCAAGTCATGCACTTGTACTTCAAAAGCTCACAAACAACATGTTGAAGATGGGATGTTCTTTCTTCTACAATTTTCTCAAACGCTCGTGGAAAAAAAGATGCTTGATACGTGGCTTACTCTGTCAACAATGAATCAGAAGTAATTTGATAACTGTGAAAATAAGTTTTTATTCAAGTTCAGTTTTGAGCGTTTTGACTGCATTCTCGACAACAGATTAAGCGACCCCCACCCCTCTTTTTTTCAACCTTTTCCCCGTTGAAATTAAAGGCTTTGATCCGTATTGCAAGCTCGAGATGCGAGCAGAAGTTGAGCCATTGAAATGTCCAGACGAACTTCCTGGGTACATATCCTGGCTTAAAGCTCATGAAAATGGAAGAGGGATTTACGGTACACTGAAATCAATAAACTTAGAATCCATTTAAAACTTATGAAAAATGGAAGAAAGACTTACTTTACACACAAATCAATAAACTTTGATTCCATTTAAAAATCAAAGCTTCAAATGAATTTCACACTCACGTAAAAAGAACAAGAAGAACAATTAATTAGCATAACTGTAAAATATGTTTAACAATAACAACATTCCAACACACCAATCTAATAATAATATAAAATGTATTATGAAGGACAGCCCCAAAACAAAACGCAACGCTGGTCTATTTACCCTTCAACGTTGTCCCTCACCGCCCTCCCTAAATCCCAAAGAAGAAAAAAAAACAGGAGGAAGAGGAGGAGGAGGAGGAGGAGGAGGAGGAGGAGGAGGAGGAGGGGGTGGAGGAGGAGGAGGAGGAGGAGGAGGAGGAGGAGGAGGAGGAGGAGGAGGAGGAGGAGGAGGAGAAGGAGAAGAAGGAGAAGAAGAAGAAGAAGGAGAAGGAGAAGGAGAAGGAGAAGGAGAAGGAGAAGAAGAAGAAGAAGAAGAAGAAGAAGAAGAAGAAGAAGAAGAAGAAGAAGAAGAAGAAGAAGAAGAAGAAGAAGAAGAAGAAGAAGAAGAAGAAGAAGAAGAAGAAGAAGAAGAAGAAGAAGAAGAAGAAGAAGAAAAGACCCCAACGAAGACGTGTTCAGCCTTCAGTTGAAGAAACAACGATCAATAACACCAAGTAAGTAACACGATATTTCTCCATTCAACACTATAGCCTACACCCGGGTGACTTCTAGCCACCAAAAAGGCACGAGAGTCTCCCTGTACAGAGCACGGAGCTTCGTTAGAGTTTTGAGTTTGAGTAAACAGAAGCAAATCGATATAATAAAGGCCATAAATAGGAAGGAAAACAAAGGACAGATAGAAACGACAAGGAAAAAGAAAATACGTAGGACCTCTCAGTCGCGCATTCCAACAATCCTCGTGTAGCTTTAAAAAAAAGTGTGCGTGTCACCAGTACAAAATTAGTGTAATAAACTACCTTGGAGGGAACTAAATTGGAGTTCGTTGATATAATTACTTGAAATTTCTCTCTCTGGCCAAATTTTGGCTCATGGTTTGCCTCGAAGAACCTAATTGGCTGAACGTTTTTCCCCTTTTTTAAGATTTTATCAGTTTCTGCTGGCTTGGGGTGAATGGACAAACTGATATTTGGGGAGATAATACCCCGCTCCATTTATTCCTATCTCTTGAAAGTTATCCGAACCTCCAAATCTCGTGACCTTTACCTTATTATTAAAAACGCCCCCCCCCCTCCCTAAAATACCTCCAAAAACCAGTGTGAGCCTTAGACCATAATAAATTTGCAGCACATGGGACTTGTTTCCGGAAAAATGCGTGTGCAGCCTCTGTGCTATCGTAATAAAATAACGCACAGCAATACTGTAAAAGAAGCGGGCGTCAAATTAATAATAATAATTTTAAAAAACCCACAGCAAGTAGGGCAATCAGGAGAATATAATTGCAAGAGCAATCACTGGGAAGGCCAGTCTATCACGCTACGAAGGACAACGTCGCTGATAAACTTGGCTGTAACGTGCAAGTTCTTCTTTTGATTCCATTTGAGGTCCAGTCTCTGTCGCATTCCTTCTGGGTTTTTTTTCTTAGGTGTCTCGAAAACGACATCGACTTTGAAACTACCCAAATTCCGCTTAGAATGGGGTTTAGATTCACTATTTGGTTTTAAAGAGAATGTAATTTCAAGAATTTAGACTTCCCATTGAGAGTGAGTTTGAGTAAAGAGAAGAAGCACATCGACACAACAATGGTCATATTTACTGCCGGGAAAAAGTAAAACAGACAGACAGAAACAACTGGGGGAAAGTAAAGAAGTGGAACCTACTAGTGGGGCCCTTCAATCACCTGTAAGACATCCCATAAACACTCCATAATGTAAGAGTTATATATCTATATCTATATCTATCTATCTATCTATATATATATCTATCTATCTATCTATCTATCTATCTATATATATATATATATATATATATATTATTATAAAGATATTGAAACGACTGACAATCTTAAAACAAAACACACGATAAAGGAGAACCGGGGGAGCTTATAATGTAGAAAATTTAAGAAAAGGAGAAAGGATGAAAAGAGAGTACGTTTAATGCCCCTATCAACACTGTTATGTCATTAAAGAGGCAGGATCTCCAGGTTCAACTTTCATCTCCGAAAGAACCGAGCCAAATAGGAGATTTGTCTTTCCCAAGAATACAATATCGGAGAAATGAGGCGTTGGTGGCCTAGTGGTTAGGCTCTCGGACTCGCAACCGTAAGGTCGTGGGTTCCAATCCCGTCAGGGGCCCGACGTTTTGTCCTTGGGAAAGGCACTTTGCACAAATTTTCCTCACTTCACCCAGGTGGGAATGGGTACCTGGCCATAGACAGTGAACGATCTTGTCAGTTTGATAGTGTTTGAGCGCGTGAAATCCGCAGCTTGCACGGTATGCTTCCGCGGAAGCTGGGAATGTTTCGGAGTGTTCTCAGAGGGTCTTTTTGTTTTTGTAAAGTGTTTTACGGCGCTCGCAACTGCATTAGGTCATATGAGCGCGCGGGACACACCTAATATTTTCAGTTGGTAGGAAATTTTGAATTTTGCCCGGGTGGCGGCCGAAGCCTACTGTTATCGATTTTAGACCACCAAGGGTTCTTTAACGTGCGCAACTTACACACGGGCCCTCCGAAATTTTTCGCCCTTGTCCGAGAAGGCTAGGTGTAGTTTTTTCTTACCAGAAGATCATGGGTGTGGCAGAAAGACAGCAGCAAGGAGGAGCCAAGGAGTAGCAGTAGAAAGAGCCAGGAGCCCAAAGGAGGGGGCAAAGGAGGTGAGGGGGTGGGGGCAGAAAGAGGACATGAAAGCAGACAACAGAACATTGCTAGAGAGCAGGAAAGGAGGTGAAAGGAGACAATTTTAGAGAAGAAAAGTTTTCGGTCGCTACCCGGATTCGAACCCGGGACCTTTGAATGAGAGGCC